CACCGAGAATTGTGGTTTTTTTTCGCTGCTTTACTTGGAAACACAAATGAAATTTCGTCCTTCTATGATTAGAAGGAAGCACTTGATTTATAGTCTTCTGATCCGCAGTTACCTGCGCACGTCTTAGCATCTACTAGAGGGGAAATCGCATGTGAATAAAATACATGCATTTGCGTCCATGCATGTATGAAAGTTTATCCATTTCTTTCAACTTTATTTTCCAAACATTTTCCTTCAGTTGAAGTTTTTCACTGGGAACTGCGCAAAACGAACTAAGGCAGGGAATCTGCAACAAACAACCGATCTCACCCGATATTTGCCGATATTCAGTATATGTAGGCCTATATGAAACTAGATAACTTTGCATAGACGTCTACCTATACATGTACCGCTGTAGATAGATAAACAATGTATATATATATATATATATACATATAAATATATATATATATATATATATATATGTAAATGTATAAACAAACATATATATATATATACATATATGTCTATATGGGTATTAAAAAAATATGGATAACTATATATAATCTTTCTTTACGTATAGAAATACGCATTTTGAATAGCGTCTGCTTCTCGGTCGAAGTCAATTTGCGCAGCCCCCTCTTTGAATTCGTGCAGAGGGAAACTCTGCAAGGAAAAAAAATGCAAATCACAATATACTCTGCTTCAACTCTATCAAAAAAAAGACAGCTTCTGCGCCGAAAAGAATTAAGCATCATTTTCCGTTAATACGCATCAATTAATCTAAATAATATGGGGTGATAAACAAGATATATATTTATGTGTATATAAAATATATATATATATAATATATATATATATTTGTACAACAATATGGGTATCTGTATTCTCTTTTACGTATAAAAATACATGCTTTATCTGCTGTCGCCTGCTGCTGCTCCGTACTATTTGAAGAGATTGAGTAAAACATTTTTGCTTGATTTCCATCATCTGGGAAGCAGCAGCCGAAACCCTACAGATGAATCCATTGGGTTCATCTGAACAACTTTCTGTCGTTGCAGCAGCAGAAGCAGCAAAAGCAGGAGCAGCAAAAGCAGCTTCATTAGGTGCAGCACGACGACGTGTGCAGCAAAATAAGTTACGGAAAATGTCCTCTTTAGACCCACCATATACGAATAAATTAATATATTCCGTCGCCGGGACTTGAACCCGGGTCGCGCGGGTGAGAGCCGCGTATCCTAACCACCTAGACTACGACGGATGTTTGTTTCCGGATTTTTCGTTTTCCTCTTTCGTTTTATTTTTTGCGAAAAACTGCAGACAGAAAACAGCTCTAAATGCACGGAGAGAAAGAAGGGATAACATGAGAGAAGTCTCCTGTGTCTGTATCCATCTGGCTATTGCTGGTTTGCGTGTCTTGTCTCTGTCGTCCTACTTGTTGCTGTCTTTGTTTTGCTGCTCGTTATTTCTGGTGTCCGTAACTGTCTGTTTGCGTCTGCCTCCTGCTTATAGTCCTGTCTGTTTCTCTCGCTTTTTCTGTTTGTTCCTCTCCCTCTCTCTGTCTCCTTCCAGCATCTGGTCTCTACTTATCTTTTATGCATATCTTGGCGCATCAGCTGTCTGCAGCAGCCCGCCTCGAGCGCTGCGACAGATGCTGCAGCACCAAGACGCTAGATCAGGAGTCTGCTGCAGCGGAAAGCAGCTGTAGCAGCCACCAGCAGAAAACGTTGCATCGCCTTTTCGTAGCTTTTGCTGAATGGGCCACTGTCTGTACAGCACACTTCTCAGCTCATGAAGCAAAAAAACTTAAGGCTGTTGACACCTAGCAGCAGCAGCAGCAGCAGCAGCGGCCGCTGCTGCTGCAATAAGGCGCGTAGTTGCGTATGCTGTGGCGTGTTGTTGTCTGCTGTCTCTGTGATGCTGCGCTGCACGTCTGCTGCTGCAGCTACGGCAGAACTTGCAGTGCATGCGGGGGGGCCCACGAGGCCCCAAAGGCTTCTTGAGTTATATCTGCAGCAACAGCAGCAACGGGAGAAGCTTCTCTAGTTTGCTGCGTTGCTGTGTCGCTGCTGTAGGTGTACAGGCACTGCGGCTGGGCTTCTGCATTGCATGCGTCTGCTGCTGAGTACCCCTCCTGCTCCTGCCCCTGCTTCTGCTGCTGCTGCTGCTTTTGGTGTTGCTGTTGCTGCTGCTGCTCATGCTGAAAGGTGACAGGTGACAGCGGCACAGGGGAAACTGAAGTGCTGCTGCTGCTGGTAGCAGCAGAAGCAACATCAGCCCTAAAGCTGCTACGCCTAGAAGCCTGACTCTGGCTCTGCGTCTCTATGCAAGAGCTTCTTCTTACACCACTGCAGCTGTTGCTCTTGCTGCTGTTCTCGCAGCAGTTGCTGCTGCTGTTGCTGCTGCTGCTGCTGTAGCAGTTCGTGCTGTAGCAGTTGCTGCTACTGCTGCTCGGTGCTGCTGCGCTGCTGCTGCCCGCATCATCGTTGTCACTGCTGCTGCCGCCAGCTCCAAATGCTCCTTGAGGCTCTTCTGCTGCTGCAGCTGCTGCTGACGCTCCTGCTGCCGGGGGATCCCCTTCAGCAGGCTCTTCGCTATGTGCTGCTGCAGCATCGGAAGCACTTGCCGCTGCTGCTGCATGCAATACCTCCTCCCCAACCACGACGGCCGCTCTGGGCGCGGTGGCGTCTTCGTGCTGTTGCTGCTGCAGTTGCTGCAGTTGTCCTTGCTGCTGTTGCTGCCGTTGCTGCTGGTCTTCATGTTCATATGACGACTTTGCTGCTGCTTCCACATCGATCACCGCCTCTGAAGCCTGTTTATCTGTGGGTTTTACTGCACCTGCTACTGCTGCTGTTGTTGCTGCTGCTTTTGCTGCTGCTGCGGCATGCCACGGTTCGCCTTGCTGCGGCAGCCACGTGTTGCAACTCCACCCAAAGGCGGCATCTGAGGGGCCACCAAGAGAGGGGCCCTCTTCGCCTCCGTTTTGTAAGGGCTCTGCAGCACTACCAGCAGCAGGAGCAGCAGCAGCTGTAGCAGGAGCAGCAGCAGCTGTAGCAGGAGCAGCAGCAGCTGTAGCAGGAGCAGCAGCAGCAAATTCCCTCTCTAACAGCGTGCAGCACTCTGCAACCTTCTCAATGTCCCCTTGAAATATCTGTACACCCCGCACTACGCATGCAGCTGTTATTTAAAAAGCCCAACCCAAACCCTAAACCCTAAACCCTAAACCTCAGCGGCAGACAGCGACAGCGCACAGGAGCAGCGGCATAACACAGCAACGCCTAACCCCCAAACCCTAAACGCTAAACCCTAGGCCTCAACCGTGAAGAAGGAAAACTGCATGTGGGGTGCGTGTGAGGGCGCAAGGGTCTGGAGAAGGCTGAGGGATGCGGATGCTGCAGAATTTAGGGTTTAGGGTTTAGGGTTTACGAAGAGCGAGCCCGAGTCTTCTTGAAAGCCGAGGCGAGTGAGAAGGAGAGCCACTTGGGGCCTAACTAGAGCAAACCTCTCTGCAGCAGCAAGAAGGAGAGAGGAGAGACACAGACTGTCTCCTACGCCTAGGGGCGCAGGGCTCAGGGATTAACGCACAAGGAGACAGAGCAGCCGCAAGGAAGCGACAAGCAGCAGCAGAGAAACAGCAAACAACCGTGTTGCGGTCGTGTTGCGATCGTGCTGGAATCGTAATGGGATCGTGTTGGGATCGTGTTCGAATCATATTGGTGTCGTGTTGGGATCCTGTTCGGATCATACTGGGATCGTGTGTGGATCTCGTTCGATCCTATTGGGATCATGTTGGGCCGAATAGGGATCGTGTTGGGATCGTGTGGGGGATGTAATGACACCCTGTCGAGATTGTGTGGGGATCGTGTTGGGATCGCAAGGGGATCGTGTTGGGGTCGTGTTGGGATCGTGTTAGGTTCGTGTTGGGTCGTGTTGGGATCGTAATAGTATCGTATTGGGATCGTGTTGGGATCGTCTTGAGATCGTGCTGGGCGCATAGTAAGATCCCGTTAGGATCGTGTGGGATCGTACTGGGATCGTGTTGGGATCGTGTTGTGATCGTAGAGGGATCATGCTGGGATCGTGCTGGGATCATGCTGAGATCGTATTGAGATTGCATTTGGAATCGCGTTGAAATCATATTACGATCATGTTTGGATCGCTCTAGATCGTATTGGGATCGTGCTGGGATCGTGTTGGGAACTGGGAACGTATTGGGATCGTAATGGGATCGCTTTTGGATCGTGTTACGATCGTATTGGTTGGGATCGTGTGGGAATGGTAATGACATCGTATTGGGAACGCGTTAGAATTATACTGGGATCGCGTTGGAATCATATTGCGATCCTGTTGGGGTCGTGTTGGATCGTATTAGGATCGTGTTGAGATCGTGCTGGGAGCGTGTTGGGGACGTAATGGGATCGTGCTGGAACAGTGTGGAGACCGTGTTGGGATCGTGTTGGGATCGTGTTGGGATCGTGTGGGGATCGCTTTGGTATCGTGTGGGGGTCGTGTTGGGATCGGGTTGGAATCATATTGGGGTCGTGCTGGGATCGAGTTATATCGTAATATTGGGATCGTGTTGGGATCGCTTTGGGATCGTATTGGGATCGGATGTCACCTTTAAAACGCGGAGCTGTGGAGTTTACTCGGCCGTAGCGCAGGCGGTCTTGTGCTGTAACTGCCGAACGCAAATTTCTCAGCATTAGCTGCAGCAGCAACAGCAAGGGAGTCAAATGCACGCCATCTATGCCCACAGGACACTACAGCAGCAACGTAGCAGCAGCAGCAGCAACAGCAGGAGCAGCAGCTCACCAGGAGAGTGCCTAGCGGCTTCCGAGCCGCAGGCCCCAAGCGTTCTGCGCATGCAGCAGCAAACTCCGACACCGCCTGCTGCAGGCTGCTTCTATCTGCCGCTGCTGCTGCTGCTGCTGCATCCGCCGCAGCTTGCAATGCTGCTGCTGTTGCTGCTGCGGATGCTGCTTCGGATGACAGCTGTGGGGATGCTACTAGGCCCTCAGATCCTGCTGCTGCTACTGCTACCGAATCTGCTGCTGCTGGGGCTTCTTCGACAAATGCAGAAGCAGCTGGTTGGTCTTGTTGCTGCTGCTGCTGCTGCTCGGGCGCTTCAACAGCCATCTCCACAAGCCGCGGCCGAAACACAGGGAGCGGTTTGCGAGGCGTGAGGTCTTGCTGCTGCTCTTGCTGCTGCTGCTGCTGCGGCGGCGGCTGCTGCAGCAGCAGGGAATGCAGCGTTTGAGACAGGGAGCGCAAGGCCTCCGTTTGCTGCTGCACCTGCACCGTCAGCTCTCGCTGTTGCTGCAGCAGCCGTTCTTGCTGCTGAGCAGCAGCAGCAGGGGCCGGTTCTGCTGCAGCAGCAGCAGCAGCAGCGGCAGCAGTAGCCTCCCTGCTGGCCCTTCGTCTGTTTCGCCTGCGGCATCGGAAGTGCTCCTATAGGAGTAGCAGCAGCGGCAAATGCAACAGCAGCAGCAGCAACAGCAGCACAAACAGAAGGACGATAAGAAGACGACTGAAGATGCGGTTGGCTGCCGCATACGGTTTGCATACATGCAACAGCAGAAGCAGCAGCAGCAGCAGCAAAGGCAGCAGCAGCAGCAGACGCACCCACAGAAGCACCGCTGCAGCAACAGCAGCAAGAAAGATTGCCGATGGGAGCAGCATCCTCGCTGCAGCGAAGAGCCACTGCCGTAGCAATTGCCACACCGTACTGGGGCGCCCTGTAGCAGCAGCAGCAGCAGCAGCAGCAGCAGCAGCAGCAGTAGGCAGCAAGTTTTATGCATGCACACACGGACATGACAACTCAAACAAATCCTGCAGCCTGAACCCCCAGTTCTAAACCCTAAACCCTAAACCCTAAAACCTCGATCATAGGCCGCACTTTCAGTCGACATCGACAGCGCCCGCGTCCGAGACAAAGCAGCAGCAGCAGCAGCAGCAGGGACTTGCCACGGGACCTGCAGCAGCAGCAGCAGCAGCAGCAGCAGCAACAGCAGCAGCACCATGCAAGCAACAGTTGCCCCAGCTGTCGCTGTTGCTGACTGCCCAGCAGCTGCAACAGCAGCAACAGCAGCAACAGCAAAAGCAACTGTAGGAGCCTCTCTTTTAGCCAACTTGGTTGCTGCTTCTGTTGCTGTTGCTGCTGCTGTTGCTGCTGCTGCTGCTACTTGATAAGACGGGGAAGAGCTCTGCAAACAGGTCTTACGGGGCTTCGGTGCTGCAGGTCTTGCTCCTGCTGGTGCATCTGCTGCTGCTGCTGCTGCAGCTGCAGCTGTTCCATCTGCTGCTGCTGCTGCTGCATCTGCTGCTGCTGCTGCAGCCGAGCGAAGGCCTCATCTATTTCTTCAACAGTAAATCCTTTACGCCTCAGAAATTCTCTCTTAACCCCTCCAGCAGCGCCAGATACTGCGCACCATCAAACCCTAAACCCTAAACCCTAAACCCTAGCCCTCAGCCCTCAAACCAGCCGCCCTAGACCCTAAACCATCAGTCCTAAACCCTTAACCCTAAACCCTAAACCCTTGACCCTAAACCTTGGAGGATTCCCACGAAATCTCTCATCATCTGCAGCAGATACAACAAGGGTTTAGGGTTTAGGGTTTACTCGCTGGGTGAGACAGAAAGCGGACACCATTGGCCAGCTTCTCCTCTCTTGCTGCTGCTGCTGCTGCTGCTGCAGCTGCTGCTGCTTCAGTGGGAGCGGCATCATCGTGGCTGCTGCGTTGTTGCTGCTGATCGTGCTTCTGCGGCTGTTCCTGCTGCTGTTGTTGCTGCTGCTGCTGCTGCTGCACAGCAGTAGCAGCAGACGGCGCGTACACTTGTGCTGCTGGAAAGGGTCCTACTGCAGCAGGAAGCTGCATATAGGGGCCCCCATGGGGCCCCCAGGTGTATCCATAGGGTGTATATGCTGCAGGGACGTACGGGGGAGCAGCATATGGGTAAAAGGCAAAGGGGGGGGGCCCCGGGGGACCCCCTGCTCCATTAGGAGGGTATGAATACCCTGGGGCCCCTGAACTCTCTGCATGCAGGGGGGCCCCAGATACCCAAGGTGGCGCCGGTGCTGCTGCTGCTGGTGCTGCTGCTACAGGCTGCTGCTTGTGTGTAGAAGCTGCTGCTGCTGCAGGGGCACCTGCACCGGCATGGGCCCCTTGAGGGTGCCCCTCAGCAGCAGAAGCAGCTGGCGGTGCAGGCGCAGCCACAGGAGCAGCAGAAACAGGAGCAGCAGGAGCTGCTGCAGCAACAACGGGAGCAGCAGGGCCCGATGCAGCAGCAGGAGCTGCTGCAGCTGGAGCTGCTGTAGCAGGCGTTGCTTCAGTAGAAGCTGCTGCAGCAGGGGCTGCTGCAGTAGGAGCTGCTGCAGCTGGAGCTGCTGCAGCAGGAGCTGCTGCAGCAGGAGTTGCAGCAGCAGATGTAGCTGCCTGGGGGCCCCCTTCGGGGGCCCCCTCGTTCTCTGCTGCTGAAGCGAAGACCATGGGGCCCCCCAGGGCCCCCAAAGGGTTCAGGGGCCCCCTAAAGGGGGCAGTGTGTAGGGGCCCCTGGTAACAAGTGGAGTTGCTTCAGCAGCGTGCCAGGCGCAGCAGCAGCAGCAGCAGCAGCAGCAGCAGCAGACTGAGGCCCCTGAAGACAAAGGGGCGGCTGAAGCAAAAGGAGACAAAGAAGGAGAAGGAAAGACAGCTGCTGCCGCATAAAAATAGGAGGAGACACCTCAATAGCTCGGCGAGACAGCGGACCCTGGGAGCAGCAGCAGCAGCTGCTGCTGCTGCTGCTGCATGCAGCCAGAGGAGGGAAGTGGGTCAGGGGGCCCCCTGTATTTGCTGCTGCTGCTGCTCTCCTTAGAACTGCTGCAGCTGCTGTTTATTGTTTTTGTTTTGTTTTACTATTTGCTGTTTATTTGGGGTTTCTGCTGCTGCAGAGGGGCCCCTTCTCCTCTCCTAGAAGGCGAAGCACTCAGCAGAGGGGCCCGCTGTGGGGCCCCCCGATTCTGCTGCTGCTGCTGTTGCTGCTGCTGCTGCTGCTTCTGCTGCTATCGCTGCAGCAGCTGCTAGTTGGGTTTTAAATAATAAAACCCTAAGACTCAAACCTTGAACTAAACCCTAAACCCTAAACCCTAAAGCTTAGGCCCGGAGTACTAAACCCTGTGCCTTAGACCCTCCTTCAACCCTAAACCCTAAACCCTAAACCCTGAGCCTTGGAACCCTAAACCCTAAACCCTTTACTCCTCAATCTGTAGACTTTGGACTTGAAACTTTAAGCCTCAAGCCGCAAACGCTAGACGGCAAACCCAGCAAAACCCTAAACCCTAAACCCTAGAACGTAAACCCTAACCCCTAAACCCTCGAAGATGTCGAAGGCATTTCACGCCCGGCTTCTGAAGACTGACGGCTACCGCTCTCAGCCATTTCGTTCTTCTTTTGCTGTTGGGCTTCTCAAAAAGTTCGGCTGGAAGGAGTAAGTGTTGCAGCAGCAGCAGCAACAGCAGCAGCAGCAGCAGCAGCAGCAACACTACTACTGCGCTCAGCACCAAACGAGGTGGCAGAGGCTGCTGCTTTAGGCTTGCGAGCAGCAGCAAAAACACTACCAGCGGCAGCAATAGCGGCAGCAGCATCAGAAGTAGCAGCAACAACAGCAGCAGCAGCAACAGCTGCAGCAGCAGCAACAGCAGCAGCAGCAGCAACAGCAGCAGCAGCATTTGCTTGTGTATGTTTTTGTTGTAGAGGAGAAGGCCTGGGGAAAACGCGCGAGGGAATTGCAGAGCCAATTCAAATTAGAAGAAGAGAGGAAGCCGTTGGCGTAGGTTGCTGCTGCTGCTGCTGTTGCTGCTGCTGCTGTTGCTGCTGCTGTTCCTCCCGTTGTTGGTGCTGCTGTTGGTTTTACTGGTGTTGCTGCTGCTGCTGCTGCTCTTGTTGCTTTTGCTGTTACCGCTGCTGTTGTTGTCGATGTTGTATCTGGCGCCTTTGTTCTTGCTGTTCGCGTGCTGCTGCCGGTGCTGTCGTTGCTGCTGTTGCTGCTGCTGCTGCTGCTATCGGATGCTTATGCCCGAACAGTAACCGCAGCAGCAGCAGCAGCATCAACAGCAACAACAGCAGCACTAAAAGCAGCCCCAACCACAGCCTCAGCAACAGCAACAACAGCAGCACCAACAGCAGCAGCTACTAGACCACTAGCACCAAGAGCATCAGCAGCAGCAGCAGCAGCAGCAGCAGCAGCATGTGTATGTGCGTGCAGCTTGGGCATGACTCTTCGAAGCGAAATGCTGCAGCAGAATGGGGAGAGTGGTGGACTGACGCATTTAATGAAGCAGCAAATAAACTCAAACTAAATGCAAAACACCAGGTTAGACCTTCCTGCTGCTGCTGCTGCTGTTATGGCTGCTGCTCCTGCTGCTGCTGCTGTGGCTGTTGCTGTGGCTGCTGCTGTGGCTGCTGTTGCCTATGCTACTGATCCTCCGCATGCTGCTGCTGCTGCTGCTGCTGTGGCTGTTGCTGTGGCTGCTGTTGCCTATGCTGCTGATGCTCCGCATGCTGCTGCTGCTGCTGCTTCTGTGGTGGTGGGCGTCGTGCTGCTACTACAGCTGCTGCTACTGATTCTGCTGCTGCTGCTGTTGGTGCTGGTGCTGGTGCTGCTGCTACTGCTGCTCCTCCTGTGGCTGCTTGTGCCCCCGCAACAGCAGCTGCTGCTGCTTCTTCTGCTACTGCGGCATCGGATTGTGCTGCTGCTTTTGCTGTTGCCTGCGTTATTGCTGCTAAATCTGCTGCTGCACAACTTGCAGCAGCGGCTACAGCAGCAGCAGCAAGGACAGGTTCTGCTGCTGCAGATTCTGGTGCTGCTGCCGTTGCTGCTGATTCTTTCTCCCGCTGTCTGTGAATGCCCTGCCGTCTGTTGCGCTTCTGCTCATTGTATTGCTGCTGCTGTTGCTGCAGCATCAGCAGCAGCAGCGCCTAGAACCTCTGCAGCTGCAGCAGCAACAACAGCAGCATTATCGCGGGGCTTGTGCTGCTGCGGTTGCTGCAGACGTTGAGTGATGACGACTCTACAGGAGAGGAGACACCTCTAGCTGCTGCTGCTGCTGGTGCTGGTGCAGCTGCTGCTGCTGCTGCACCTGCTGCTGCTGCTGATCGATTTAAGAGGCCGCGCTACTCACCGAGAGGAGCAGGCTTAAGGGTTTGTCTTTATTTGTTTTTGTTTTTTTCTGTCTTTGTTTGTTTATTTGTTTGTCTCCATCTCTTTTGTTTGTTTGCTTATCTTTTTCGCTTCTCTCTGTCTCTGTTTGTTTGTTCATTTGTCTGTGTCTTTGTCTATTTATTTGTTTGTTTTTGTTTGTTTATTTGTTTGTCGATGTCTTTGTTTGTTTGTTGTTTGTTTCTTTTTGTTTTATTTTTCTGTTTTTTTCTGTCTTTGTTTGTTTGTTTGTTTGTTTGACCCCTCTTTTGTCTGTTAGTTTGTCTCTATTTATTTATTTGTTTATTTGTTTATTTGTTTATTTGTTTATTTGTTTATTTGTTTATTTGTTTGTTTATTTGTTTGGTTGTGTCTGTCTCTGTTTGTTTATTTGTTTATTTATTTGTTTTTCTTTTGTTTGCCTGCTTGTCGCTGTTTTGTTTATTTATTTATTTGTTTTTGTTTGTCTCTGTCTCTGTCCTATTTAT